GGGATCAGGGTTGCCATTCAAGAACAGACAGACAGAAGGCGACCAGATCCTACCGAACATAACTGAACATGCGGCTTTTGGCCCTAGCGAAGGAGGGCAACTTCAAACAATCCCTTTGCGCGGCCGATGGTCTCGCAGATCGGGTTCCAAAAAGGCGCTCCCCCGGCGTCCACGAGGGCCTCAAGCTGCCACAACAAAGCCATGGGGCAGAGCGGGGCTGCCCCAAGGAAACCTCACTATGGCTCCAATAGACCCCAAGATATATACATCCGGATCATCTGTCAAACGGCCTCCTCTGCGTCCATGTATCATTGCTGTGCATATAAACTATCGTGTCCCGGCCAATCGCCGAGCATCGTTTCTGGAATGGCAAGTGGGGCTCTGGGACATCGAACGTGAAGATATCAGAACGTGGGGTTGTGAAACTATGTGTATGTTTGTGTGGGCGCGTACGTAGCCATGTATACGTGCGCAATGTCTTTGGAATGACTCCTTGAATGTCATCCCAAGGTCTGATGCGACGCCCACTGACGGGTCGACGTCTGCATTGCAGAACGCGTCCGTCCGCGTAATGCCGCAGACCTTAGGTGCTAAGCGCCAAGCGCGAGGATCGGCCCCGACAGGAGCGCATGCGAAGGCGTTGCGCCACATATGAAATCGCGAGCGGCGAAGCCCCCGCTGTCACGAAATCGCGGCGTGCCCGGCTAGCTGCCTAATCGAGGCCCGAACACTATCGACAGGCCAACTAGGCGCCGAGCCTTTCTCAAGAAGTTGGCGATCTCCATGCATGCTGCGGGGTCTTCAGGCTTGGGCGATTTCCCGACGTGCATCGCTGGGAGGCTTTATACACGTGCGTCGACCTGGCCGTCGCAAGCACCCCTAACAAACATCGCGGCCCGCGTCACTTGCGCAAGACTTGGCAAGCCATGCGGGGCGTTGGAACTTGCAAAGGAAATTCTGGCGGGCGGGAAGGGGGGCCGGAGCGAAGGGTAAGACCAGCTGCGCGCCGAGCCTCGAGTCGGTGCGGGGAATCGAGCAGGTGTCAGGAACGCTGGAGCGCAAAACACGAGCACTGGGGGTGCTGGGGGCGCCCCCCTGCTGAGGTGAGAGACCAAGCACGGAGAACTTAACATGTGGCTCTTATTGTACCTGCCCCCATGCGCCAAGAATTGAATGGAGGCGCGAACCATGCCGGTGCGAGCGGGAACATGCGTTTCGCATGCATGACATGAAGACGGCGCTGAGGAGGAAGCGGAGGAGGAGGAGGAGGAGGAGGAGGAGGAGGGGTGAGGGAAAGAGAAAGGAAGGACAGCAGGGAGAGGAGGAAGCCTCCTCTCTCCTGCTGTTCCTCCTCCTCCTCCTCCTCCTCCTCCTCCCCCTACTCCTACTCCTACTCCTACTCCTACTCCTACTCCTCCTCCACGCATAAAGAACGAATTCGCCGGCCCAACGGGCCAGAGGCGTGCTAAGATCTCCGGCAACTGGTTAACAATATTTCTAGTTCGCGCGCGCGGGGCGGCCCCTGGGGGTCCCGGCGAAAAGTACCCCGACCGCAGCCCGACCACTGCTACCCAGAGATGGTTTTCCAACTGGGTGCGGCTTCTCAGGCCCCCCAGAGCTCGCCAAGAGTGCCACAAGAGGCCCCCAAGACTGCCCAAAGGGCCCCCGAGACGCCCAAAGAGCGCTCCAAGACGCCGATGATGACCCCAAGACGGCCCAAGAGGCCTCCAAGTGGCCTCCAAGAGGCGTCACAAGAGGGCCCCGAGAGGCCAAAATCATTTTACGATGGTTTTGGGGAAGGATTTGGGCCTTGTCCCCTTTTCGGCCATCCGATGCTCCAAGACGGCCCAAGAGGCCCCCAAGAGGGCCCCAAGACGGGCCAAGAGGCTTCCAAGAGGGCCGCAAGAGGGCCCAAGAGGGCCCCGGACGGCCCAAGAGGCGCCCAAGACGGCCCAAGACAGCCCCAAGACGGCCCCAAGAGGGGCCCAAGACGGGGACCACGAACCGAAACCTCGAGCCTTCCGCCCCAAGAGGGCCCCAGGAGTCCCCGAGAGGCCCCCAAGGAGCCCCAAGATGCCGCCAAGAGGCCCCCAAGAGGCCCGCCAAAATCATTTTACGATGGTTTTGGGGAAGGATTTGGGCCTTGTCCCCTTTTCGGCCATCCGATGCTCCAAGACGGCCCAAGAGGCCCCCAAGAGGGCCCCAAGACGGGCCAAAAAGGCTTCCAAGAGGGCCGCAAGAGGGCCCAAGAGGGCCCCGAGACGGCCCAAGAGGCGCCCAAGACGGCCCAAGACAGCCCCAAGACGGCCCCAAGAGGGGCCCAAGACGGGGACCACGAACCGAAACCTCGAGCCTTCCGCCCCAAGAGGGCCCCAGGAGTCCCCGAGAGGCCCCCAAGGAGCCCCAAGATGCCGCCAAGAGGCCCCCAAGAGGCCCCAGGAGGCCCCCAGGAGGCCCCCCAGAAGGCTTCAAAAATGCCTCCCAGGCGCCCCCGACCGGCTTCTCAAAAGACCCCAAGAGGCCTCCCGAAGAAACATCTTGACAACGACCCTGTTTGGCCCCAAGAGCAACACAAGATGCCAACGAGAGGCTTCCTCCTCCGCCCATTCTCCTCCTCCTACTTCTCTTCATCCTCCTCGTCTCCTTATCATCCTCTCCTTCTCCTCCCCTCCCCATCCCCATCCTCATATTACTCCTCCTCGGCGGCGCCACAATGGCCCCGGGCCCACGGCGAAGCAGTAGCGATCATGCAACATGGGCCGGCGGAGTGAGCGAAGCGATTGAATAACCTATTCCGGCATCTGCGAACTTCGAGTCCCACCAGCCCTCTGGGCGACAGGTGGTCTTACGATGCCTCCCTTTCCTCTTCCACAAGAACTCCTTTTTCCCCTGCTCGGGGGAGGGCTACCCCATCCCCTGGACCTGGACGGGGGGGTTCGCGGCTAGTACGAGCGCCGAAAATGGCCCACGATGACTTCAATCGGGCCTCCGCTGCTCCAAAATGGCCTCCAAGATGGCCCAATATAGCCGAAGATGGTGCAATATAGCTTCCGACATGCCTCCAAAAAGCTCCAAGAGGGCCACAACACGGCCTCGAGTACTCTCAGAGCCCCTTCGGGGCCCCCCAAGGAAGCGGAAATCTGTCAAAACGTAAGCAAATCAATGATTTTGGCCTTCCCGCTTGATGGCTCCAATATGGCCAAAAACAGCCCCAAGAGGGGCCCAAAAAGGCCCCGAATACGGCCCCAAGAGTGCCCAAGAGCGACCCAAGAGCGGCCCAAGAGCGCCCCAAGAGGCCACTTAGAGGGCTCCCGAGGGGGGGCGCCGAAAAAAGACCCCGCCCTCTTATACTCGATGGTCCCCACGATGGTCCCAAGAGGCCGTACAAGGCTCCCAAGAAGCCCCCAAAAGAGCCCCAAGAGGGCCCCAAGAGGGCCCCGAGACCCCCACAAGAGCCCCAAGCGGACCCCAAGACCATTCAGAAGAGCCCCAAAAGGGCAACGGGAGACCCCCACAGCACCCCAAGAGGCCCCCAAGAGAGCAGCGTCAGCAGCAGCACCGCCAGCAACGCCAACACCACCACTGCAACCAGCACCAGCCAGCAGCAGCACCACTAGCAACAGTAGCAGCACCACAAGCAGAAACATCAGCACTAGCACCAGCAGCAGCACCAACAGCAGTAGGACCAACAGCAGCAGCACCACCCGCACTGCACCCTACTACCAGCAGCAACGCGAACAAGAGCACCAGCAGCAGCACCAGCAACACCAGCAGCAGCACCACCACCACCAGCAGCGGCAGCGGCAGCAGCAGCAGCAGCATAGCACCACCAGCAGCAGCGTCAACACCACCATCATCACCAACACGAACAGCACCAGCACCATCAACACCACGAGCAGCGGTATCAATAGCACCTGCAACAGCACGAAGACGACCAGCAGCCCTTTGGCATTGCTTCTGGATGGGCTGGTGGGGATCCGCGAGGCGTAGACAATATCAAATGGGAGCCCATGACGAGACAGAGGCGCTCAGTAGCCCAACGTGAAGAGTGCACCACGCATATCCCTCTTTCTCTCTCCGTCCATTATTTATCAATCTTTCTCTACATACAAATGTACACATTTATTTATTTATTTATTTATTTATTCATTCATTTATTTATTTATTTATTATATATATATGTATGTATATATATATATACCTTTTCGTTATCCTTAGTATCATTATTTTCCTGTTCTTCCTCCTCCTCCTCCTCCTCATCCCTTCTCGTTTCGCCTCCTCCGCGGGGGTTGCGGGCCGCCACCGCGTTTGTTCCCCCCCGCCCTCTTGCCCCCCACCTCCCTGTCGCCCCCCCCCACCCCTCCCCGGCCCCCAACCCGCCCTTCCCCCGAAGTGCGCTGCTGGTACTGGAGGCATCATGCCCGGAGCATACCGTCAACTATGCACTATCGGGATGGAGATGGGAGGGCGTTCGCGATGCCTCTGTTCCAATCATGGTAGCGCGATTGCACGCACGAACGAAACTGCGATTTCACATGCAAACTTCCTTCCCGCCCCGCCCTTTCCCTCAGCAGTGGAACGGCCTGGGCGCGGGTCGTCGGGGCGCCCAAGATGGTTCAACATGGCGATGCGAAGGCCTCGCATCGCCCAAGATGGCTCCCAAAATGGTTCAAGAGAGCCCAACACATGGTTCAATAAAGCCCACGACGAATCTCCCGCCTCGGGGCCGCCCAATGTCACCCCTGGGAAGCTGCAGTCTGTTCGAAACCGAAGGAACGAACTGATGCGTGCCTTTTCGCTCCCGACGGGCGCCCGCGGCCTCAAGACGGCCCAAGAGAGCCCCAAGACGAGCCACAAAAAGGCCCAAGATGGACGTAACAACGCCCCCAAGGGGCCCCGATTGACCAACGGGGCGTTCTGGGGGCATCCGACTGAGGCGGTTGGGGGGGCGCGAATGCCCCCCTCCCGGCCTGGGTCGTGCAAAAAATGGAACAGCTGTCCTGGATATCCCACCGCGCCGGGCTTCTTCCAGGAACAGATGGCAAGCATGCCGGCGTGGTGGAGCAGGGGCGCCGCGAAGTCCAGATCGCAGCCTTTGTTCAATTTCCTCGCAATGGTAACGAGCTTGAAGACGGTGGTGGGGGCCTCCACAAGGAATATCATATTGCGTTTCACTTTCGACCTCAGCCGAAGCGAAAGGAGGCCGCGCGCGCGCCGGCACGCGCCACCAACGCTGCTCCAGTGGGACATGCGCCATAGTGTCGCGGCGATCGCGGGAACCGACGGGGCCCGAGCGCGCCCCCGCACGAGCGGGCGGACATCAAAATGCACGCGCGCACGCGCGACAGAAAGGAAGGGCCGGATCTTTCCCCGAGTCAGATCCCGAGGGCCGGGCGGGGTACACTGCGGGAACATGCCCATCAAGGCCTCTGCGTCCACGATTTTGATCGGGTTGTCACCAAACTTCGGGGGGGCGTTTCCTGTCCCATCGCCCACCACTTTGCCGCCCAGCCACGTGGCGCACAAAGCCGACGAGCGGCCGAGGAAACTCGTCAGGAGGTCGCCGACGCTGACGCCCAGGGACCATTGGTCTTTGACGCCTGCCTCCCTGGCCTCCTCCTCTTTCTCGAGCAGCACCCGCCGCAGGTCCAAGATGTCCATGGATTTCCAGCGCCACCACTCAGCATCGTCTCCAGCTTCCAATGCGGCGTTCTCCATCTTCGCCCTGTGCGCATCCAAGATAATCTTCTGGTGGATGGCTTTGCAGAGCGCGTCCACGGGGACTGCGTAACGGCACACTTTGGTTTTCACCTTGCTCTCGAAAGATGCACGCTTGTGGTCGCCTGTCCGGATCGCGTCTCGTTGCTGCGTTGCGTGGATGGCAAAGGAAGTCTTGAAGTACGTTGAGTCCTGCTTGATGCGCCACAGATTGGTTCTCTGGCTGTACTCTTGGGTCTCGTACGCCTTCCTCGGGGTCGCAGCGAGACTCGGGTACTGGGCGTCGATGATGTCCAGAATGTCAGCCAAAACCGCTACCGCCCATGCAGGATGCGCGTTGGCACGGCAATGAACTGCAACGAAATAGCCATCGTAAAACCCGGGGGAGAGGGGGGCGACCCTCGGGCCTCAAGGTGGCCTAGCCTGGAGCCTACCCAAGGCCCTAAGGTAACCTAGGGCAGAGCCCGCCAGAAACCCCAGGGCAGCCTAGGGCCAGGCAGACCCAAGGCCCGAAGGCCCGCGGGGGGAGCTTAGGGTCACAGGGTAAGCCTATGGGAAATCCTTCGGTCGGGGGAACGCAGACGGGACGCCCTATGGGCAGTGCATATGGGGTAGGCCCGGGGCAAACTTAAGGGGGAGACTTAGTGGTAGACCAAGGGGGCGGCTTCGGGGTAGGGCCAGGGTCAAGCTGGCCAGCTCGGGCGACTCAAGCATGGCATGCCCATTCCCACCCGCACTCCCACAACATAAGAAACACTGCTGGGACAAATGGGGGCTGCGCGGGCATTTCAGTGCGAGTCGAGGATGCCCCAGGCCGCCACATTGACGTCCGCGCGCGATGCGCGCCGCGTCCCATTCCTGCCACGCATTTCGCATCGTCGACGACAATGCAACGCCAGGGCGCGACCAAGGCAAGACGGCCACCCACGACACTCGGGGGTACGCAGCCGGAGGCGAATGAATAGAATATGCCGGCGTCTTGCTCCAGATCGTTATAGTCGTCCAGGTTGGCCACGTCCGTCTTGAACGCGCACCAGTCGAACCTGGAGAATATGCCGAGGGGGTCCTTTCCTGCGGCGAATAATTCGCCCATGTCCTCCACGTGCATCGCAAGGAAAAGCACTGCCCACGGGTAGTCGATCGAGAACTTGGACGACGAAGTGAGAACCGTGTTGCTGAACTCGTCTCGATCGTGCAGCTTGTTGATCGACTGGCCGTCGCAGCCTGGGGCGTCGGCCATGACCTTAGATAGTAGCATCTTGCCCTCGTGGAGAGCGACGAAGATCCGACCGTCATTGCCTTTCATTTTCGCCCCCCAGCCGTACACCGTGCCAGTGTCTGCTGTGAAAGATGCAGAGGCCACCAGTTTCTTCTTGTCGCCATCGTCCGCGCCCGAGCCTTGGGCCTCGTCAGGGACTTCATCCTCCTCGGCCATGGGGTCCGCGGCGCCGTCCCCAGGGGCGGCCGGTGGAGGCGCGGCCTCCGCGCCTTGCTTCTCGGCATTTTTCGCCTCTTTCCTCGGGGGGGTGGGGCAAGCCACTGCGGCGGCCGTTGGGGCCCCAGCGAATGCGAAAAAAACCCAAACCAGGGCGACGGGGGCGGGGGCCCCAGGGATCCACAGGAAGCCCCGATGTCGGGATCCGTGCCGCCACCGCGGAAACTGCGATTTGGGTCGCAGCCGTCCTTTCGCGGCGGCGCCGGCGGTTCACCCGGGTCTGCAGCTCGAGCACAGCCTGTTTGATCAGCCAGACGATGACACTCTTCCCAGCACCAGTGCGGCCCAGAAGTACCATCCACGGCAAAGGCGGCACTGGTGGCGGTTTTGACATTGCCCCCCCCCCCCCAAGAAAAAGGAAAGCTGACTCGCTGTCCGCGCGATGAGGTGGCTGGGGGATGTGCGGACCCAGGGCCCTTTCCAGAACTGCCAATGCGAACGGAAAGCGCAAGTGCAGTTTTGACTATTCGAGTATATTCGGTTACCGCGTGAGCGCGGCGCCGCGGCACCACGCCCGCGCGAAATGGCACGCGCTCGAATCGACGCTTCTCAATAAACCGAACCCCTCAGGGGCTGCGCGGGCGCAAGCTGCGGTCGCTCAAATGAGGGGGTGGCGGCGGTTCCGGGGGTCTGTTGCCGCAAATGATAGCAGGAAGCCGGAACCGAAACCATAATCCAAACCAGCTGCAAAGCAACGCCGCGCTCAATTTTCCCGCGGCAAGCCTAAAACAGGGACGAAAGCAGGAACGTCCCGCAGGCGCGTTTCGCACAAGCCGCCCGAAAGGGCCTCCGAGCATCGGCGTGTACATCGCAACTGTGCGGTGCATGCTGAAGGACGCGAGGGACACGAGCGCAAGGAATACGAGGCCGAAAGGAACCTGCAAGGAACCTTGGATGCGCTGAATCTCGCCGGCGCTCTTCTCGCCGAGCAACTCCTGTGCAGGAGCTACAAAAAAGCGTCGCTAAGAAGGCCGGCGTGGGCCGCCTGATGGCCTCGAGGCCTTTCCGAGGACGCGGGGCGGAGCTAGATGATGGAAACTTAACCCTGGCGTCCTTGATGCGCTCATCAGGAAACGGGACGGCCTCCAAGTCGTGGTAAAGGTCGTCCATCGTCGACGTCTTGGGGTTCGCGACGACACGGGGAGGCGGCACGGGGCCCTCCTCGTCTGGCAGCTCTTCTGGCGGCCCGCCCAGCGCCGCCGCCTCCTCATCCGCCTGCGCTTGCAATTCGGCGAGATGCGCCGCCTGTGAATGGGGGCCGTAGCACAAATGGGCACTATCACGGCGCATTGGCCAAAAGTAATGCGTTTTTTCTCCCACCGAGGCGTTGCGACAACAGCTGGTCGGAAAAATTTGGGGCGGGAGGGCCCTGGACAAGAGAAGCGCATCGGTTGAGCAGGAGGTGGGATGGACCGTTTTATGATGCCTCGGCGTTGGCTGCTTGCGTCATCGAGAAGTCGTCCTGGGAGGCCATGGCCATGAGATCTCCTCGGACCGCGGGGCGAGCACAGCAGCAGCGCAGTTGACTTGAGCCTTGAGCCTGCCAGCACACGCACTGGTAAGCAAGGCGGAAAAGAGACGCTGAAGATGACGGTGGTGCTCACGACAACGATGCCAATGGAGACCTTTCCTGACATGAACGGGAAGCGCGTGAAAGGGAAGAGTTGCGCAAGAACTTGCAGCATCATCGCGATCAAATGTAGTGCAGGCGAGCTCTCCGAACGGTCACAAGGGATACGTATGGACACGCGCCTCCCAAACGTTCACAAGCATATTCCTGAGTATCCTCACCACTCCTCCGCATGAGGATGACGACGGCGAAGACGACGACCGAGGAAGAAGGGATAGGAGGAGGAGGAGGAGGAGGAGGAGAAGGAGGAGGAGGAGGAGGAGGAGGAGAAGGAGCAGCATAAGCAGCAGCAGCAGAAGAAAAGGCAAGGAGGAGGAGGGGGAGGAGGACGAGGAAGAGGAGGAACAGGAGCAGGAGGAGGGGGACAAGGAGGAAAAACAGGAGGAGGAGGAGTTGGAGAATAAAGAGGAGGAAGGGGAAGAGGAGAAAACCGAGGAGGAGGAGGAGGAGGAGGAGGAGGAAGGAGAAGGAGGAAGAAGGCGGGGAGGAGGAGGAGAAGGAATATGAGGAAGAGGACGAGGAGGAGGAGGGGGAAGAAGAACAGAAGGAGGAGGAGGAGGAGGAGGAGAAGGAGGAGGAGCAGGAAAAGGAGGAGGAAGAGGAGGAAGAGGAAATGTTGGGAGGATGTCTCGAGCGAAGCGCTGATTTTTCAACGAAAGTGTTTAAAACACATGGTGTTACAATATTTTCGTTTCTTGGGCCATCTTGGGAGTCATCCGAGATCGCTCCGAGAAGATGCCTTACAAAAGCTTTGTCAGCATCTCATGTTTTCGAGGATGTCTCGGGCGAAACGCCCATTTTCGAGGATCCGAAAATTAGGCGAGCCCATGTTTAGCAACAGACGTCTTCAGATACGGCCCCCAACTTCACGATTGTCTGAGGATGTCTCGAGCGAAACGCTCACTTTGGGAACCTTTCCTGACATGAACGGGAAGCGCGTGAAAGGGAAGACTGCGCAAGAACTTGCAGCATCATCGCGATCAAATGTAGTACAGGCGAGCTCTCCGAACGGTCACAAGGGATACGTATGGACACGCGCCCCCCGAACGTTCACAAGCATATTCCTGAGTATCCTCACCACTCTTCCGCATGAGGAAGACGACGGCGAATGCGACGACCGGAGAAGAACGGATAGGAGGAGGAGGAGGAGGAGGAGGAAGAGGAGGAGGAGAAGGAGGGGGAGGAGGAGGAGAAGGAGGAAAAGGAGGATGAGGAGAAGGAGGAGGAAGAGGAGGAGCAGGAGGAGGGAGACAAGGAGGAGGAGGAGAGGGGGAGGAGGAGGAGGAGGAGGAGGAGGAGGAGGAGGAGGAGGAGGGGAGAAGGAGGAGGAGGAGGAGGAGAGGGAGGAGGAGGAGAGGAGGAGGAGGAGGAGGAGGAGGAGGAGGAGAAAGAGGAGGAGAGGAGGGAGAGAGGAGGAGGAAAAGGAGGACGAGGAGGAGGAGGAGGCGGAGGAGGAGGAGGAGCAGGAGAAGGAGCAGCATCAGCAGCAGCAGCAGTAGAAGAGGCGAGGAGGAGGGGGAGGAGGACGAGGAAGAGGAGGAACATGAGCAGGAGGAGGGGGACAAGGAGGAAGAACAGGAGGAGGAGGAGTTGGA